GCCCTGCGTTAAGGGTGCTATAGCAATGCAAGTTGTTATTGTTTAATTGCTTCCTTACTTCCTGGTAGTGGGTTAACTTAACAGCTCCACATTCCTGGCAAACATAGGAACGGGAGGTTCCTGGCAAATCCAAGAATCCATTCAATCTTCCCAACATGTTCCTGATAACATGCTGCCTGTAATTATTCGCCTGTCTTGGCCAACTGGAAATATGAGGATCATCTTGTATTTACACAGAGCCGCACTTGAATAAAAGCCATAGTGTTCTACCATTGATCTTGTCATTTTTTTCTGGACATTGTTAAACATTTGTTATCCAGGGGACGCTTTGGCCACACTTGGCAGCACTTGGGCAATCTGGAATTTCTGGAACAAGCTAAGCTAAGACTGTTCCAAATCCTCTGTCAAACATCTGCCAAGCTGTCTAACTATGCACTTTGGATCACAGCACGAACATTTACAAAGTGCTTTATTCCTCTTTTTGTTTAAAACAAACAAACCTAAAAGTTCTGAGGCCAACACTTTGAGTTATAATAATAATCATATTAATCCTTGGATTTGATATAGCACCTCATCACGAGGTTGAGACATCTCAAAGAGCTTCACAGAATGTTCTGTAAAGTGAATTGACTGTTTATTTTATGGGTGAAACCCAGCAGCCAATTGTGCACAGCAATGTCCCACAAACAGTCGTGGATTGAGTGACCAATTTTTTTAAGAGATTGTTACCTCCAGAAAGCAATCCACCAATCGACTAACAACTGGATTCCTACTTACTGCTGGGTAAACAGACGTATGTGGAGTAAGGAAACCTCCCTAAGATTTTCCCCTGCCCAGGAATCGAACGTAGGTCCTCTCGCTTGCGAGGTGAGTGCTCGAACTAATTCCAATTGGTTTGAACTCAAATTCCACAATGGATTCTTAATAGAGCTGCCAATCCATCCATTCATCTAAGGGTTAGCAACATGTTAGGTGATGACAACTAAAGTCAGCCAAACCCCTGAATTGTACCTGTGGGCAGTACCTGTTCACTGCCACTAGATGTCTGTGTTGCACTGTGTTTAAGACTCATCAAAAATTAAAAGAAAGGCTTCCTTGCACTTGATATAGCGCCTTTACAAGTCATTGAGATGTCTTAAAATGCTTCACAGAATATATTGTAAAGTGGATTGAATGTGGCAGCTAATTGCGCCCAGCAGTGTCCCACAAGCAGTCACGGATTTGAGTGACCAATTCTAAATAAAGAATTTAAATGAATGTCAATGACTCAATCTGAATCCAAATATAACCACATAAGGAAGAACAGTGCAGGAGGATGGCAACAGAGGAGTGATGCACGGGGAGGGGTGGGAGGAGATGAAGATGAGATTAGGAGCATGCACAGGCAGGCATTCCTTCCAGTGAAGCAGCTCAACATAAACAGGAACTCCATATTTACAGAAACTGGAATAAATGAAACACAAGTGAATTCCAGATGCTCAATGTTTGCAACATTTACCCTGGCAACATGAAGCCAGATCGCCCAGTCTGCTCACTGATCCAGTTCCCTTTATAGCAACAACACGATTACATGTGTATAGCGCCTTTCACGTCGGGAGGACGTCCCAAGGCGCTGGACAGAGTACAGCATTTCACACCCGAGCTGGGGTCAGGGGGGGGAGAAAGGGAGGGGAGGGGATGGCCAATGGCATGGTCGAAGAGGAGGGTTTTGAGACGGGATTTGAAAGAGGCTAAGGAGGGGGTGAGGCGGAGTGATTGGGGGGATGGAATTCTAGAGGTTGTGGGCAGAGTGGCTGAAGGTTCTCCCGCCAATGGTGGGGCGGGTGGGTCGGGGGACGTGGAGCAGGTCAGAGCCGGCTGAGCGGAGGGAGCGGGCGGATTGGTAGGGGTTAGGAGGTCACAGAGGTAGGGTGGGGCGAGGCCATGGAAGGCTTTGTAGGTGAGGACCAGGATTTTGAACTGGATCCTCTGAAGCATAGAGAGCCAATGCAGTCGGGCGAGACTGGGGGAGATGCGGTCACAGAGTTTTGTGCGGGAGAGGACACGGGCTGCAGTGTTTTGGGTTATCTGCAGCCTGTGGAGGGAGGAGTTGGGAAGGCCGACAAGCAGGGCATTTGCATGGTCGAGCCTGGAGGTGACGAAGGCATGAACAAAAGTTTCAGCGGCCTGAGTGGCAGAGAACAGAGAGCAAGAAGTGAGTGTGAAATAGATATATATATATATTCCCAATATAATACAGACATTCATGATGAATAATATCCCAACTAGTGCTAAAACCCCCACAAAATACAGTCATACAACTTTAGAATAATATAATAATGATCCTTACATTTTATGAAGCATCTTATCACATCATTGAGACATGTCAAAGTGCTTCACAGTATATACTGTAAGCTGATACGACTGTTTGTATTTTGTAAGAGAAAACTTTGCCGTATATCCTGTGAAGCGCTTTGAGACGTCTCGACGATGTGATAAGGCGCTATATCAAATGCAAGGATTATTGTTATGTTATTATAACAGGACTTGAGTGCCCATCAGCTCTTCTTCGCCTACGTGCCACTAATGTCACTTCCTGTGTGCCATGCATTACTACACAGTGCGGATTCTTCACATGTGAGACTGGCTAATATATACTGAAAGTACAAAGTTCCCAAAATATCATGCCCCTCCCCACCAAAAAAAATCACAGAACAAGCAGGAGAGTGAGCGAGAGTAGGAGCCCTGAATGAGTTTGTCTTTCCATAAATGGCGCCGGGGTCAACTATGGCCCTGGAGCCAAACACAGCACCACTACTGAGTTGAGATCAGCCAACTCACATCTCACTACCTCTACCAATTGCAGGGCAGGTGAGTACAGTTCTCATCACCCTTATTCCACCGAGATGGAATCTCTTGTTGACTGTGGGCACATTCCTTAATTGTCTTTCAACAGCCCAGTCTGCTTTGTCAAATCTTTCTGGGCACCTAACACACTGGTTAACCTGCTGATGCTGATAATATAACAGCATCGGAAGCTTGTTTAAGGCCACAACACCCCACCCACACTCGAACCCAACAAAGAGCTCAGGAGGCTGTACTGACGCACTTTGGGACATCCTCCTGACGTGAAAGGCACCATACAAATGTTGTTGTTGTTGACACACCTGAGCGAAATTCTTAATTTAGGCCGGTATAAAGTGGTTCAGCTGCCGGGGTCTCTGACTGTGAGGGTCTCTTCACCTGCGGTCAGACCCATCACAGCCAAAGCCAAACACTGCTTTGGAATATATATCTTTATATATATAATACATCTATTTCACACTCACTTCTTACTTTGTGCTCCCTCTTCTCTCTCTCTCTCTCTCTCTCTATTTCACATTCACTTTCTCCACTCTCTGCAGCCTTTCACAGTGTTTAACACTTAGGCCCTTAAGAACAGCTCCACTCGCTCTGTCATTCAAACTGATTGCTCCGATGGGATACGAATCAAAATAACTGCTGTGTTAAGCTCGTTTAAAGCATATCATAACTTGTTTACCTTCACTTACATTCAGCCCTATGGCTTAGCTGGTGCTGTGTGTTCATGCGGGAAAACGTGCGTGGAATGCTGAGTGAAGATCGGCATTCAGCCACAGGGAATTGATCCAGAATAAGACAGGAAATATGTGTGGAGCCATGCCAGGCAGGAGCAGCGTGGCAATGATCATGGATTGGGATCTTTCAGATCTTTAGGGAAGATTCCAGAGGCCTGAAATAATCTTTGCCTTAAGACCCAGCCTTCCTCAGCTATCTAAAAAACGCAAGGTGGTGGAGTAGTTTGGAAAATTCTTAAAGTCAGTCTCAATTTGGAAAATGGGTTTATAAAAGTATTCTAATGATAATAATCCTTGCATTTGGTATAGTGCCTTATCATACCATTGAGATGTCTCAAAGCAAAGCGCTTCACAGGATTTATTGTAAAGTGTATGACGGTAATTTGTAGGCAAACGCAATAGTCGATTTGCGCGCAGCAATGTCCCACAAACAGCCATGAAATGAATGACTAATTTAGTCTGGGAGATTGTTGGCAAAGAAACAAATGAGAAACTTCCTTCTCTTTTCAAATAGTGCCATGGGATCTTTAACATTCACCTGAACAGCAGACAGGAACTTGATTTAACATCTCCTTTGAAGGCTGGCACCTCTAATACAGCGCTCCTCCAGCACCATATTGGAATATCAGCCAAGACTCTAAGTTCCAGTTCCTGATGTGAGGTTTGATCCCGCAATCTTATGACTCAGGCGCGAGCTCCACGTTGACCCCTGGCTATTAAAAAGAACCAGCGTCTGAATTAAGACTGAAGAGAATTTTCCAAAATTTAGCATACACAAATATCCGTCCTTTGTTGAGAGAATAAACCGAGACTCTGTCTGGACCTGTTTAAGTGGAACGGTAAAGATCCCATGAACCAATTTGAAAAGAAAAGGGATTTCTCCCAGTGTCCTGTCTTTACAGAATATACTGAAAGTGGATTGACCGTGTTTTTTGCAGTTTACTCATTTTTAGATATTTACCTGGTTCCCTCCAGAAAGCTAATATTGATTCTGCTTCAAGCACCTGCAGGGCATTCCATATCCTAACAATTCTGGGTGGAAAATAAATTCCTCCGAATCTCACCATTTGCTTGTGATGTTAAATTGATGTCCTCTAGTCACCTCCTCCTGTTCCTAGGTCCACATCACAAGGAATCAACCTATCTTTTATCAGATAATCATGGGCAATGCTAGACTGCATGATTATATAATACAACATAATTCACATTCATATAACTCCTTTCACATCGGGAAGCGATTTGAAAGTTGATTTACCTCCCAACTTGAGAGACGCTACACAAATGTAATTTGTTATTTGTTGGTACCTCAAAGTGATTTACACAGTTCACTTGGCAACCGAGCTGGAGAGAGGAGGGAAGTGTATTGGGGAGAAGAAGAGTTATACGATTAGGGTTAAACGTGTGCTGTACAGTCCTCTGGTTTACCTTTATCAGAAGCTCATAGCGTGGAATTCGCTGGACTGGTTTGATCATCAAGTCAGACAGTGCTTGCTTTTCCTTGTTCTCTCTCATACATTGCTGCAAAGTAAGAACATTAAGATGTAAAAGAAGTCATAGCCCTGAGTGCATACAAGCCCTGGGCTCTGGAATTCTACCCAGTCTTAACCCTTGGGTTAAAAAAAAATGCTTAAAGTTTAAAATCACCCGGAATTGTACTGAATTCTTCTTCAGTTCAGAAGCCCAATTTTCAGCATTTCTCAAAAAGAACCAGCGTCCAAAGTAAAATTACATTAAAGAATATTTCCCAGTTCAATCTTAGATTTTAGGACAAAATGATCCTGCGACAGGCTAAGACTAGGTGAAATTTCAGGCCTTCTGAGATCAATATCCATAGTAAACGCTCCTCAGGACAAAAATCGAAAGTCGCTGCGAACACACAGAAGGTCAGGCAGCATCTATGGAGAGAGGAAAATGAGTTAACATTTCAGGTCGATGACCTTTTGCCAGAACTGACTGCTCAGGACATCCTACTTCAATTCAATTAATGCAATATTTTCAGATCAATCTATTTCTCAACACTTTATTATGAGTAGAATACTTTTGGACAGAGAATATTTCATATTCTGGTTGATTTTTCAAATGTTTATCCTCCCTTTCCAATTACTAAAAGCTTTTGTTAAAGTGAAAATGGGCAACTTCTAGGATGTAAGGTCGCCTTGATGTCACCTCCTGTACATCACAGGAAATGAGGTCTGTGTTGAGCCCATGACCTGGAAGGTCAAAAACTTTGATTAAAAATTAAATCAAGCTTAAATAAATATCAATATTTATCTGTCAATTTTTTTAAAAAAAGGCAAGTCTGATCCTGGGGAGTGTATATCAGCGGGTACTTGACTGCAGCACGGTTCTCAGTCAAGGCTGACCCTGGTGTGACTTCTTGATTCTTCTTAATTCTTCTTAATTCATGGCTAGTGAAGCCTATTGAAAAGGCTACAACTGCTCGCCCATCTGAGATCAGCTTAACTAGGCACAGAGCAGGATTCACACCTCTGCAGGAGATTTGTTTCGCACTGAGATACCAGGGAAGGTGGTGGGTGGCAAGGCTCGACAAGAGCTGAAACCTCATAGAATCATAGAATTATATAGCACAGAAAGGGGCCGTTTGACCCATCGTGTCTGTGCCGGGCTCTTTGAAAAGAGCCATCCAAATCAATCCAACTCCCCCGCTCTCTCCCCATAGCCCTGCAAACTTGTCCTCTCCAAATAATTATCTACTTCTCTCTTAAAAGTTGCTATCGAATCGGCTTCCACCACTCTTTCAGGCAATGCATTCCAGATCTCAACAACTCGCTGTGCGAAAAAAATTTCCTCACCTCCCCTCTGTTTCTTTTACTAACTATTTTAAATCGGTGTCCTCGGGTTACCGACCCACCCACCAATGGAAATATTTTCTCCTTGTTCACTCTATCGAATCCCCTCATAATTTTGAAAACTTCTATAAGTCTCCTCTTAAACTTCTCTTGGAGTCCTGTAGCTCAGTGGTTAGAGCACTCGCTTTGCAAGCGAGTGACCTGGGTTTGATTCCCGGCAGGGAGAAATCTTGGGCCAGTTTCCTTACTCCACACACCTAATAATAATCCCTCAAAATAAAACAATAATAAATTGGTCATTTCAATTCACGACTGTTTGTGGGACACTGCTGTGCTCAATTAGCTGCTGCATTTCGCCCTCAAATATACAGTCAATTCACTTTACAATCTATTTTGTGAAGCGTTTTGAGACATCTAGAAGATATGAAAAGCGCTATATCAAATGGAAGGATTATTATTATTATTAATATTCTCTGTTCCAAGGAGAATAATCCTAGCTTCTCTAGCCTCTCCTGATAACTGAAGTTCCTGGTACCACCCCTGGTAAATTTTCCTAGTTTAGTATCATCTGAAAACTTGGAAATTGTACTCTCTATACCCAAGTGTGGAGTCCTGTAGCTCAGTGGTTGGAGCACTCGCTTTGCAAGTGAGAGACCTGAGTTCAATTCCAGGCAGGGCGAAACCTTGGGCAAGTTTCCTTACTCCACACAGAGCCTAATAATAATCCCTCCAAAAAACCCAAAACAATAATTAAATTGGTCATTTTCAATCTACGACTGTTTGTGGGACATTGCTGTGCGCAATTGGCTGCCGCGTTCGCCCACAAATATACAGTCAATTCACTTTACAGTGTGTTCTGTGAAGCGCTTGGACGTCCTCCTGACGTGAAAAGCGCTATATCAAATGCAAGGATTATTATTATTATTATTATTATTATTTGAAAACTTGGAAATTGTACTCTCTATACCCAAGTCCAGGTCATTTATATAGATCAAAAACAGCAGTGGTCCCAATACTGATCCCTGGGGTCACCATTGGATATTTCCCTCCAGTCAGTAAAGCAACTATTCTCCACCCCTCTCTGTTTCTGTCTCCCAGCCAGTTCTGTATCCGCTGCCACTGTCTTTTTAATACCGTGGGCTTCTATTTTGCTTACAAGTCTCTTATGTGGCACTATATCAAACACCTTTTGAAAATCCATATAAACTCTATCAACTGCACTGCATTCATCCACCCTCTCCCTTACTTCATCAAAAAAATGTAAAATGGAGAAATAACCGTTCTATGATAACCTCATAGCCAGTCCACACTACAGGGCTCTTCAGAATCATTGACCTGACAAGTTTGTTTACTAATGTTTACTAATGATTCAGCATGTTTTAAGAAGAAACTGAGCCTGGGTCCCAGGTGTTGAAAAGGTTGAGAAACACTGTTGGATGTAAAGCTACAAAATCAGAGAAGGAAACGTCCTCAGGCCTTACCTCTAGGAACTTAATGAATGCCGGCTTCGCCTCTTTGGCCAATCTCACAGCTTCTTTGGCATTGAGGAAGTTATCGATGTACGCGGAGTAAGAGTTGGCCAACACGTCCTTGGAGAACTACAGGAAGGACAAAGGAAATCAGTCAACCGCTGTGAAATTGCTGAGGTTTTGTTTAAGGAATTGAAGGAAGAATGCACTTTACAGTAGGGTGACCATACATCCCACATTTCCGGGAACAGTACCCGGATGAGGTATTGGGTCCCTGACCAGATTTGCCCTGTCTTGACTTTAGCAACAAACTGAGCAAGAACAATAACATTCAAAAATAGATACACTCATCAGAGAAATACAGTTATTAAGGCCTATACCTGATACACCACATTATGTTCTAGCCCCATTCACAACAGAATACTAATAATACTAATTGATACTAATAATGCTTGCATTTCAGATCGAGCCTTATCGTGTCTGAAAGCGCTTCACAGAATATATTGTAAAGTGAATTGATTGTATATTTTCGTTGGGGAAACTTGGCAGCCAATTCTGCACAGCAGTCTACCACAAGCAGTCGTGGATTGAGTGACCAAATTATTATTGTAAAAAAAAATGTGTTCGAAGGAATTATTATTGTCGGAAGCGATTAATGACCAGCTTCCTACTTACTGCTAGGTAAACAGAGTCGTGTGCAGTAAGGAAACTTGCCTAAGGTTTCACTCTTGCCTGGGAATCAAACTTGGGTCCTCTTGCTTGTGCTCTAACCAATAGGCTACAGAAGCTCACACATAAAGAACAATTATTCGGGTGAGAAGGAATCTGCTTCCTCTGTGTCAAAGTCCATTCAGCTCCAACATGCCACATCTAGACCCACAGTTTACCTCCAGCCTATAACAAGCTAAAGGGATCCTTACCACTATCCTTACTGCAGTGCTTCTAAAGTGGTCAAAAGCTCACAGTTGATTCAGGAAGTATGACTGATACTTTAGGAAGAGCACTTTATTTCAATGTCTTCCTGTTACACAGGCAATGTTTCCTTACAGATCACCCTTCAGTTCCTCCATTACAAGGGCCGATGCAGTCTACGGTCAAAGCCTTGTACTGTTCAACCAAATTTGGCAACAAATATACAATCATTACACTTCACAGTAAAACTCTGTGAAGTGCTTTGAGATGCCTTGATGTTAGAAGGCGCTATACTAAATAGCAGGATTATTATTAATACTTTCAGTGATTGTCATTCAATCTTTCAAAGTCATTCGAGATGTCCTCCTGCCATGAAAGTGCTATATAAATATAAAGTGTTATAAGAATACTTATATGTATTTGGAGGCAAATACGCAGCCAATTTGCCCAGAGCAATGTCCCACAAACAGCCATGAAGTCAGTGACCAATTTTATCTGGGGGATTGTTGGCCAAGACACCGGGAAAAATTCCCTTCTCTTTTCAAATAGTGTCATGGGATTTTACCATCCACCTGTACAGGCAGATGGGGCACTTCAGTTTAACATCTCATCCAAAAGGACATCACCTCTGACAATTCAACCCATCCTCAAGCACTAAATTGGAGGGTCAGTGTATACAATGCAAGTTGTTCATTCACTTCATTGGCTGTTGCTCTTGCCTACAAAAAACAGTCACTTCACTTGACTACACAGGGATCCAAAGGCTTGAACAGATGTTATCAGCGTGGTAAGGAGCAATAGAAAGGCAAATTCCTTCCTTCCAATTGTTCCGGAAAAGAGGCAGGATGCACATTATACGAGGATATGCATTATACATTATACACAATGCAATACAAATTTGCAATTACATAGCTCCTTCCAAGTTGGGAGGTTGTCCCCAGGAGCATAACAATCCTAGCACCCAAGCTGGGGGTGGGAGCTGAGAAGGGTGGAGAAGAGAAGGATGACCAAAAGTATGGTCAAAGAGGAAGGTCTTGAGATGGACCTTTGAATGAGGTGAGGGAGGGAGTCGGAGGGGATCTGGGTTGGAGTTGTTATACCGAAAGTCCTGGCTCCATGTACAATTGCACCGAGTTAACACAGTGAAAACATTAACCTCCTGGGCCATATCAATCATATTAATATTTTCAAAACAAAACCTGCTGATAACATCTGTTCAAGCCTTTGGATCCCTGTGTAGCCAAGAGGAATTTAGAGGGCTCTAGTCTACACCTGGGACTGGCGGATACAATGCCTGGTGAAGCCTGTCAGTGCAGGCCCACAGCACCTGTCAATATAATGGCCCAGTTAGAGCCAAGGTAAAGGAACAACAGACCAGGCTCTGAAAGATTTCACAAAACCCCAATTCACTGGGAGAAGTCATCTGTGCATCAAAGTCTAACCATTATTGAAAGCTCAGTTTTGTTGTTAAACCACACTTCAGAATCACCTGCGTATACATACAAAATGCTCCAGTCAGCTCCCCGAAGGATAAAATCACTGCGTCATGCAGACAAGAGATCACATATTTGATTCCCTGTCTATGCTTAGTTACTGATCCCAGGCACAACGTTTGCAAACTGACCTCAGGTCTCCTGAGCTAGAGCCAGGCAGAGGCAACGGCAGGGGAGGGAAATCAACACGGTTTGCTCTGTAGCTAAAAGGTGTCCTGCTCTCTGGTCTTTGCAGACATGGGGTCAACCTCTACATATATGCCCAACTCTACCTCTCTGCCTCCACCCTTGACTCCATGACCACTGCTGTGCTGATAGAATGTCCGTCAGACATCAAGTCCTGGATGAGAGCTAACTTTCTTCAGTTCAACGTCACAAGACCAAGTCTCTCCTGATTGGCTCCCGTCAGTGCCTCCTCACCTCGGGCGCCGACAGCATCACCATCCATGGTTGCACACTCCACCGTGCTAAGCCAGTCCAGCACCTTAGGGTCTTGTTTGACCCTCAACTATACCTTTTATCCCACATCTGCGCCATGACCCGCTCTGCCTTCCCCCACCTCCGGATCGTAGCCCGGCTCCGACACTGTCTCATACCGCAGGCCGCCAAAACCTTCATACATGCTTTCATTACATCGAGGCTCGACTACGCTAACTCACTGCTTGTCGACCTCCCCAATTCCTCCCTCTACAGGCTGCAGATCGTCCAGAACTCTGCAGATCGTCCAGAACCCTGTAGCCTGTGTCCTCTCCCACATTAGGCTCTGTGGCCCTATCACCCTCATCCTCACCCAACTCCACTGGCTTCCCATCACACAGAGGACACAGTTCAAGATCCTGGTCCTCATCTTCACGATCTTGCTCCCCGCTACCTCTGCGACCTCCTAACCCCCTACCATCCTGCTCGTTTCTTCTGCTCAGTGGGCTCCAGCCTGCTTCACGTCCCCCGCCTCACTCGCTCCACTATTGGCGGGCAGCCTTCCGCCATTCTGCCTCCACCCTCTGGAACTCCATCCCACAGTCCCTCCACCTTGCCCCCTCCTTTGCCACCTTCAAGACACATCTCATCAACTGTGCTTTTGATCTCCCTGCTTCCCCCCTGCTTTCCACCCTCCCCGACCCCGAGCTCGGGTATGTAACTCTGTCTGTCCAGCGCCTTGGGACGTACTCCCGACGTGAAAGGCACTTTACAAATGTAATTTGTTGTTGTTGTTGTTGGCAGATCTAACCCGGGTCTGGCATAAGAACAAAAGCACATAAGAATTGCCAGACGACAGAAGACCCAAAGTCCATCCAGTTTGCCTTCCACCATCCTGGCAGCCGGAAGTGTATATCATGTCCCAAACTATATACTGTATCCCAAGAAAAAATCGTCACTTTTTGGCTTCCACTGTCTCCCTAGGGAGCCGTTCCCACACATTTACTACTCGCTCACTGAAATAGTGTTTCCGCAGTTTTGATTTGAATTCACCCCCCCCTCCCCCTTCAATCACAGGCCTGACGAGGTGTCCTGTGCCCTACTGGTCCCCCTGGGAACATTGTGTGTCCAGCTCCATGCTGGTCCTAACAAGATAGTCAGTTGTCCTGATTCGTGCTGGTTTCTCCTGGGCTGACGGGTTTCTTTTTTTGTCTGACACATGCGAAAACTCATCACATGCTAAGAGTATCCAAACCAGCCAGAGAGTTTCATACGCTCCACCTACACAAATGTTTGGAATGCAATGCACACTTTCTCTCAGGAAAAACGCACCCCGCTAACCCAATTCCGGAGAGTGTTAGGCACAGGTTGGGAAGGGCCAAGCCTGACAGGTGTCCTGCAGTTTCCTCTTGTGGAATTGAAAAATTAATTTATTCACTGAGAATTCAATCTCACTTGCGTAGGGAATCCACGAGCAATTAATTTGCCTTTGGTGATGGGTTTTGCAGGTAATAAATTCTAATGATCCGTTTCAAGCCGTTAATTCTTCTGTATTTCATTAGTTAAAGTCGCTAAATTACCTTTATCACTGCTGGGAGTCACCTAAGATTTAAGGTAATTAGCAAAACGGCAAAGGAGACGTTGGTGAATGTTTTAATACTGTAATCATAACACTCCTTACATTTGATATAGCACCTTTCAAATGAGGATGTGTCAATGTGCTTCACCGGATGTACTGTAAAGTGTAGTGACTCTGGGTTTGTAGGTGAATGTGGCAGCCAAGCTAATTGGCTCACAGCAATATCCTACAAACAACAACAATAATAATAATCCTTGCATTTGATGTAGCGCTTTTCACGTATTCTAGACGTCTCAAAGTGCTTCACAGGATATATTGTAAAGTGAATTGACTGTGTATTTTGTGGGCGAACTGCGGCAGCCAATTGCACATAGCAGTGATCCAAAAACAGTCGTGGATTGAGTGACCAAATAATTATTGATCTTTTTCTTGAGGGATTATTATCAGGCGTGTGGAGTAAGGAAACTTGCCCAAGGTTTTGCCCTGCCGGGAATCAAACCCAGGTCTCTCACTTGTGAGGTGAGTGATCTAACCACTGAGCTACAGGACTCCTACAGGCGATCAAGTGAATGACCAATTTAATTTGGGGGATTGTTGGTCAGAACAACAATCATTCATTTTTTTTAATAGTGCCATTGGATCTTTAATTTGTACTTGAACAAAGAGATAGGACCTCAATTTAACATCTCATCCAAAGGATGGCACTTCCGACAATGCAGCACACAGCA